ATATATTATAATTACATAATATAATTAAACCCTAATTCCATTTTCCAAACCCTAATCCTATCCCCTCCATCTCTCACTCTCTCTTCACAGTTCACACTCCTTGTCGGCAGCCGCTCTACCCTTTCCCTCTGCCATCGCTGTTTAGGAATGCCCACCGCTGGAGACACCTCCTACCCTCGCTACAAAGCTACGTTTGATGTAAGATCGAGTAGCGATTATCTCCTTTCTTCTCTTCAAATCTCATCTCTCTCTCTCTCTCTCTCTCTCTCTCTTGCTCGTTCTCCCTCAAGCTACCATCACGATTGAGTAGTGCCATCCGCTAGAGATGTGAGAGTCGAGCAGCGGCATAGTTGTTGTAGTGCGACGCCCTCACAGCTGGCGATGTGAGTGATTTGGCCGAGTGATGTGAGTAATTTTGCCGGTCGGTGGATCTAGGTAGCGGTGGCTATGGTGCGGTGCAGATAATGGTGTAGTGGTCAGCGTTTGTTTGCGGTGGTGATTTGGGGCGTTTGTGGTGCCTTGTGGTGGCGAATCTTGCATTTTCTTACAATGGTGTTACATGTGTTTGATGGTGGTGGTTGTGCGGTCTTGGGTTGTGGTTTAGATCTGGTGATGTGTGGTTGTGGAGGTGGTAGATATGTGGTGATATGTTTTGGGCAGTGGTGATGGATCTATGGTGGCGGTCCGTGTGGTGGTGATGGTGGTCCGGGTGGCGAGACTGCGTACGGTGGTGATTTTTGTGGGGATGTTGGCGATTTTGTATCTGGTTTGTGGTGGTAAGGCGGTGCTAGTTGCAATGTTTGAGATGACTGGGATGTAGGGAGATGGTGGTGGTGGTTTTAACAGCAGCAGTTGTGACGACAACACTTTTTCTCCTATATCTGTCGATGATGTCTTCCTCTCTGTCCTTTCTATTTTTTTTTATTTTTGAGTGGTGCGGTGGAGGTCTTCGTTGCGGCAGAGGGGGTGCTATATTTGTGTTGCTGTGGGTGCAGGTGCGGTGCTGTGGGTGTGCGTGTGTGCGGGTGTGACTGTGCGGTTGGGTGACTGGTGGTGGTGATGGTTGTTTGTGCGGTTGCGGGTGGTGGAGGTGGGTGATCTGTGAGTGTGTGCTTTTCTGTGTGTGTTTTGTGATGTTTTGGAGGTGGGGGAGAGTAGTGCGGTGGAGGTGGAGGTGTGCGTCGTTGTGCAGTGGTGGTGGTTGACGACGGTGTCGTGACGGTGGTCGTGGGTGGGATAAGATGGACGTGGGTGTCTGTGATCAATTATTTGGTTGTGTGACCCATAATTGGTTAATTTTTGACAAATT